ACTCTCACTTCTATTGAAACACTTGTCAACGAAATCCCAAATGAAAATCTCATATGCTTCCCAAATCCCACTTCCCTAATGCCAAAATCTGTAGAAAATCAGGATGAACCCAACACGCAGAGCATCAAGATTTGCATTCCAATTAATTTCTGGCCGTATTTAGCAACCCCCATCAACCCTCTTCTAATCTCTTCATTCTTTCCATGAACTATTGGGTCCGCACACTATTCAGCATTCTCCTTCTCATTGTGTGTTGCCACCACGCTGAGCTGTAGGAATGGTGACATTTGCAGGGAGGAAGAAGGTTGCACGAGGAAAAAGAGGTTCAAGTTCTATAAAGCAGCGGAAGAAGCTTCCCAAACCAGATGAGATTATTGGTTACAGACAAGCACAGATGAGATAGGATGGAGTCGAAGAAGAGTGGGCTCGACGTCTTGGTCATGGCAACAGCTATGGTCTGTGTTTTCCGGCGAGAACTAGCTGGATAGCTGGGTACCAAGTTTGAAATGGTGGTTTATAATTTATATTTTGGGTAAAGTACAAAAAAGTACCTCAACTATTAGTGTCACGACAATTTCATACCTCATCTTTTAAAATTAACAATGTTATACCTCTTCTTTATAATTTGGTTCAATGTTATACCTTCCGTTACTTGGCTGTTTACTTTTCAGTTAAATGCTGACGTGGCTTGATTCGGGACCTACTTTCTATTAAAAAATTAATCAAATATTATTAAAAATTAAAAAACAAATATTTAATATTTTTTAAAATAATAAAGAAAAGTAGAAAAAAAAATTCCCTCTGTTCGTCCGTTCCCCCCTCTCTCTCCCTATCTTCATCTTCATCTTCTTCCCTTCTTAATCTTCAACCAAAAAATTTTTTTGAAAACCCATCAACCCCCTCTGCTGAAGAAGAAGACTAGGAAAAAAAAGGAGGAGGAAGAGAAAAAAAAAATTGAAAACCCATCAACCCCCTTTGCGGAAGAAGAAGAAGAAGAAGAAGAAGAAGAAGAAGAGGAAAAAAAGGAGGAAGAAAAAAAAAATCTTTTTTTTTTGAAAACCCATCAACCCCACTCCGCGCGGCACGGGGGAAGAAAAAGAAGGAGAAGGAGGAAGAAGAAGAGGAGGAAAAAAAAAATCCAACCCAACCCAGTTCGCCTCCCTTTCAACCCAGAAAAGAAAAAGAAGAATAAAAATAAAAATAAAAACTCAACCCAACCCAATTCGTGTACCCCTGCAACCCAGAAAGAAGAAGAAGGAGAAGAAAAAGAAAAAAAAACAAACTCAAAGTGAACCCATTTCGTCCCCCCTGCCAACCCCAAATCCACCACTCTCATCCATTCTCCACATCCTCTTCCACACCCATCCTCCACCTTCTCTGCGCACCCATCTTCCCGTTGACGGGATTTGGGTTTTTTTTTTTTTTTTTAGGGGGGGGGTTTCAGGTGGGGGGAAGAAGATGAAGATGGGGAGAACAAACTGAGGGTTATTTTTTACTTTTTATTATTATTTTAATATTTAAAAAATATTAAATAATTTTTTTGTTTAGTTTTTAATAATATTTTAATAATTTTTTAATAGAAAGTGGGTCCCGAATCAAGCCACATCAGCATTTAATTGAAAATTAAACGGCCAAGTAACGGAAGGTATAACGTTGGACCAAATTCTAAAGATGAGGTATTGTTTGGACCTGATTTTACACTATCGGCCCGAGTAATCGAGGCCGTTGGATGAGCAGAATTTTAAACCGTTGAATGACAAAGTGGTTGAAATGATTTTCAATTATTATTGAGAAATAATGTTGTGATTTTAATCATGATATTATCTCATAGTAATATGTTAAATTATTTAAACCTATTTTTTGTCTAAATCCCAGCTAATTTGACCACATGGAATATTGGGATGTGCACGACATCAATTGGATGAGTGCAGGTATGGTTAGATCATGTAGAAGCCTAGATAGGCTTGGCTTTTGGTGATGATATGACAAGTCTAGGATTTGATGGTGATGGAGTTATGATGAGGTAAGAAGCCTAGATAGGCTAGACTTTTGATGATGAGGTTTGAAAAGTCATGATGCATGGATGGGATGAAATTATGAGATGGTGATAATTAGAAATGAATTTAATATTCATTTAGATAAAGCCTAGGAACATAGGTTTTCTGGAAGGCTAGGTTTTTAATGCATGTTTCTCAGGTTGGTGCTGTGAAGATGGATGGAGGAAAACAAGTGGTGAAGCCAGGTCACCAAAGATCAAATGCAATCCTTTAAAGATCAAGTCACGTCAGATACATGGGAATTTGAAATAGGACTCTACCTGAGGATCAGGACGTGCCAAGCAAGTACATTAGTCCTATAAATACAGATGCAATGGCAATGGAAGAAGGACCTTCGATTCAACACACAATTGCCCTGCGCAAACCTCTCAAACAACTTGAGATTTTTTTATTTTTTTTTTTCCGCCGACACAACTTCAGTTTGGATAAACAGTACTGTGAAGGCAACCGGCAAACATCTTCAGTTTGGATAAACAGCATTGCGTCGAGGCCGACTGGTTATCTATCCAAGTCTCGGTCGAGAAGGATTTTCGAATCCTTATTGGTAGAGGTCATCTCATTAGCCTTCTCGGCGAAGTGAGGTGTTACGCGTTATGACATTCGGCGCATTAAACGTCGAGTGGTTTTATGATTGAATACTCCCAAGTGAGTTCCAGAGTTCGGCATTTTGATAGTCAAACCACATTCACCATCAAGACATACATCACCCTTGAATACTTGTGTCCATACAGTCTGGTGTCGATTCGACGTGCTTATACTCTCACGAATATAATCACTGTGATCGAATTCGGCGCCGACGATTTGTGAACTTCGCAGAACTAGCAGCCTTGCCTTTAGGCTCAAGAATCCAAAGGCCGAGATTTGTTCCTTCCTTAGCTGTAGTCGCAAGATAAAGAAGTCAGCAACGCGCTCAACACAACATCAACAAATTTTACTCCTCGACCGACGAGTTGGCACGCCCTGCATTCAACCGAAGGACGTAGTTAGCTTATTAGTTACTCGGCCTGCACGCCACGTAGGCTTTGTAATTTTTAGGGTCAACAAGTATGACATTGTCAATTATAAAATATAAGGTATGAAGGTGTCGTGACACCAATAGTTGAGGTAGTCTTTTGTACTTTACCCTTATATTTTAGTCCATGTGGGCATATTTGACTGCCACATCAACAAAACTGTGAGACCCACAGTTGACACATCATCATTTTAACGGTCAAACTAACAGATTGACTAACGGATGTATGAAATTGAAATGTTTTAAATATATTGTTTAAGGTTGCAATTGACCTCAAACCTAAGGGGGATAAAATGTAATTTACATTTTACCCTAATTTTTAGGATAAAATACAAAAAACTACCTCAACTATTGGTGTCACGACACTTTCATACCTCATCTTTTAAAATTGACAATGTCATACCTCATCTTTAGAATTTGGTCCAATGTTATACCTTTCGTTACTTGACCGTTTACTTTTCAGTTAAATGCTGACGTGACTTGATTCGAGGTCCACTTTCTATTAAAAAATCATTAAAATATTATTGAAAACTAAAAAAAAATTATTTAATATTTTTTAAATATTAAATTAATAATAAAAAGTTATATAAAAAAAAAACCCATTAGTTCGTCCCTCCCCTCCCCCTCTCCCCCCTACTTGCAAACCCAAAAAAAAAAAAAGTGAAAACCCATCAACCCACATGCGGAAGAAGAAGAAGGAGAAGGAGAAGGAGAAGGAGGAAGAGGAAGAAGAAGAAGAGGAAAAAAAGAAGGAGGAAGAAAAAAAAAAAGTTCCCCACCTCGGTGTGGAAGAAGAAGAAGGAAGAAGAAGAAGAAGAAGAAGAAAAAAAAAAAAAAAATTTGAAAACCCATCAACCGCCCTGCGGAAGAAGAAGGAGAAGGAGAAAGAAGAAGAAGAAGAAGAAGAAGAAGAGGAAAAAAAGGAGAAGGAGGAAGGAAAAAAAAAAATTGAAAACCATCAACCCTCCCTGCACATTCTCTACGCACCCATCTTCCCGCCAACGGGATCTGGGTTTTTTTTTTTTTTTTTTGGGTTGCAGGAGGGAGAAGAGAGGGGTGGGGAGGGGGGAAACTGAGTGTGGGTGTGGGGGAAGACAAATTAGATTTTTTTTTTTTTTTTTTTTTTTTGGGTTGTTGTTGTTGTGGTTTGTAGGTGGGGAAGAAGTTGAAGATGGGGAGAAGAAAGAGGAGGGGGAAGGGGGAGGGGAGGGACGAAATCAGGATTTTCCTTTTTTTCCTTCTACTTTTTATTATTATTTTAATATTTAAAAAATATTAAATAAATTTTTTTTAGTTTTTAATAATATTTTAATGATTTTTTAATAGAAAGTAGGTTCATAATCAAGTCACGTCAGTATTTAACTGAAAAATAAACGGGCAAGTAACGGAAGGTATAACATTGGACCAAATTCTAAAGATGAGGTATGACATTGTCAATTTTAAAAGATAAGATATGAAAGTGTCATAACATCAATAGTTGAAGTAATTTTTTATACTTTACCTTAATTTTTATTACAAGATAAAGACACAACAAGATCTAGTGTAAAAAGTCAGACTTCCCAAATTCCTCAACAAAAATATTTTAAGTTTTCAGTTGCACGCCAAAGAAGAGAAGTACATGATTGAATGACTGATCTGGACCGACTAGCATATTCGATGACTTTTTCATAGCCTGATGATCCGTGCTTTGTTTATTCTACTTTTTGAATAGTATTTTTGTTCACACATGTCAATTAATATATTAAGAGTAGTACGAGGGAAATTAAATTTTCAAATCAAATTGTGTAAATTAAATGATGTGATTGTTGATAATTGATTATTAATTTAGTATCAATTCATGTGCTTATTTCATATTGATGATATATCATTTAATTTATAAATTTAATTTAAAAATTTGATCTCTATTATAATTCTTGGTTTCTATGAAATATGTAGAACGACAGCCGGCAAACTCTACTGAATCAGCAAACATATTTTATCTCAAAACAGACCAATTCAATGATACAAAGCCAAAAGAAAGCTACTAGTCACCAAATACAAAATATTAGATTGCACCCATTCTTCCTTGAAACCAAGTATAAATATTGTTTTGCACCTCCATAATTTTCACTACCACAGCGCTATCATATTCAAATTCGCTATTGAATAAGATGACGAAGTCTTTGAAAAGGCATTTGGAGTTGCAGGGTCCAAGGCCTACAACTCTTATGGTGAGCAAGAATTCACAGAAGGTGACGAAGAAGAAGCCAGTCATAGTCTATCTCATATCTCCCAAGATTATTCATGTCCAACCTGAAGAGTTTATGGGTTTGGTTCAACGGCTTACTGGGAATAATAATAATCAAGGTTGTCGAAAATCCGAGGTTAATAACATTGGGGCTGCTGCTAATTCTCAGTCTTGTTCTTCTGCTTCCACTACTTGTTTGATCGGCCAAGAAGGTTTCGTGAGTGAGAGCCCACGGAAGCCCAACAATAATAGGGCAGATGAGTACTGCGATGATCGTGTACCTTTTGGAATACCTACTACAACAACGTCCAACTTTGCTGAAATCTTCTAGCAATATAACAGTATGTATTTTGTGTATTTATCTGTAGAAATATGTACATATGTTATACATCAAAAGTATGTTATCTGGGTTACTTTGAGTTCGAGAAAAGCAAACGATAGGTTTCATATATTAGTCTAGCTTTTAGCTTTGTATGCCAGAATTAATTAAGTTAAGGTTATTTTGAGATATATATATATATATATATATATATATATATATATATATATATAGGCCCTTTATGCAAAGGGATTTCCATTTTTTTTTAAAATGGGGATTAGGTATGGGGCCCATTTCACATCGAATTTCAATGATCCGAACCATATATTTTGTTAGTCTCGATTCATAGATCATCCTTGCAAAAATTCAATTCAATCCGAAACCATTTGCCTATTTAATTATCAAGATCAAATTTCATTGTTTCTTATATAACAAAGTATTCGTTCATTTCTTTGAACCCAATTAGATGTCTTAAATATTTCTGATTTGACTAATATTTTGCAAGGATGATCTATGAGGTAGAACTTGAAAAATAGACGGTTCGGATCGTTAAAGTTCGATGTGGTGTGAACCCCACAACTAATCCTTATTTTTATAAAAAAATGAGAATCTCTTCCCTTAAAGGCTTCCTCTCTATATATATATATATCATATAATCCATTTTTTTCATGTATGAGTTTTGCAGGATGTTTGATTTTTAATTTGGTTCAACATGTTTTTGTTTGAAATAATTTACATGAATAGCAGGCGGCAAGCTTTTTCTGGTGGTGGTGGTTCATTTCTGATGAAGAATGACCATCTCAGTAAGAGGTGTATGGTTATTTGTTCGCTATTGTTGTTACTTTCCTTGTCTCTCTCATTCAAGTTGTATAATTAGCTATGTTATGAAATGAAATCATTCGTTATTGATAAAAAAGAAAATAACTTAAAATTTTGATTTTGTTATAAATATGCAAAAGTTAGAGAGATAACATTTGCTAGGGATAGGAGTACTATAACTTTAGTAGTTATAACACAAAAAGATGTCAAATAAAGAAAGGGAGAGAGAGATACTGATATTATTTCTTTAGTTCTTTCTTTTGCAATGTGTATTTGATAACACAGTGCTCCATTTATAGAATAACTCCCGTGACAACCAACCAAACAAAAATGATTACATTTTGAAAGTATCACACAACCACTATTCCCAACTCTTCATTACTTTGTGTGGGCATTCATTCATCCACTAATTCTACAACACTCCCCTTGGATGCCCACATATCAACATCAGTTGCCTCGTTAAAACCTTGCTCGGAAAAACCCAGTGGGAAAAAACCATAGCGAAGGAAAAAGAGTACAACTTTATCCGGATTGTTGATATAGTGTTAAGTATGCTTATGTTGCCTTGTTAAAACCTTGATAGGAAAAAACCTAGTGGGAAAAATTCGAGTCGAAGGAAAAAGAGTACAACATGCATGTATCATGGATGCTCCCCCTGATATGTATCTCCCCCTTATTCCGCATTCTTCAAATTTAGCTGATTGGTAAGCCGACGTAATTTGATACTCTGCACTAGCTTCTGAAACATGCACTTTGGTAGAGATTTGGTGAATAGGTCTACCAGATTTTCATTGGAACGGATTTGTCTGACTTCAATAATTTTAGCCTTTTGAAGCTCATGTGCACTAAAAAACTTGGAGATATGTGTTTAGTCTTATCGCCCTTGATGAATCCTTCCTTCATTTGGGCAACATAGGCTGCATTATCTTTATGGATGACAGTTGGAGTGTCTATCTTTGAAGTTAGACCACATGAATTCCAGATATGATGAATCATTGATCTTAACCAAGAACATTTACGACTTGCTTCATGTAAAGCAAGTATTTTTGAGTGATTTGAAGATGTAGCAACTAATGTTTGCTTTGTCGAGCGTCATGAGATTGTTGTATCTCCATTAGTGAACACATATCCAGTTTGTGAGGGGGCTTTTTGCGGATCAGAGAGAAAACCAACATTTGTATATCCAACAAGGATCTGGTCATTTGTGGATTTCTTTGAGTAGAAAAGACCCATGTCTGTTGTCCCACAAAGGTATCGCAAAACATCTTTGATTCTTTTCCAATGACGAATTGTTGGAGCAGAGCTATACCTTGCTAACAAGTTAATTGAAAAAGTTATATTTGGTCTAGTACATTGTGCTAAATACAATAAAGCACATATTGCACTCAGATATGATACTTCTGGACCAAGGACCATTTCATCATCTTCTTTTGGATGGAAATGATCTTTCTTAATGTCCAAAGAACAAACGACCATTGGTGTGCTGAGGGGATAAGCCTTGTCCATGCTAAATCACTTCAGGATTTTTTCAATGTAAGCTGATTGGTGGACCAAAATTTCATTAGTACAATGCTCGATCTACAAGCCAAGACAATATTTTGTGTTTCCAAGGTCTTTCATTTCAAATTCACTTTTCAGATATTCAACAGTTTTATTGAGCTCTTTAGGGGTTCCAACTATGTTCATATCATCAACATATACTGCCACTATAGCAAAACCAGAATTGGACTTCTTAATGAACACACAAGGGCAAATGACATTGTTAATATATCCTTCTTTGATCAAATACTCATTGAGAAAATTATACCACATTCGTCCAGATTGTTTCAACCCATACAATGATCGCCTTAATTTGATTAAGAGCATACCTCATGGTTTGTTAGTTGTTTCGGGCAACTTAAATCTTTCTGGGACCTTTATATATATGTCAGTATCTAATTCTCCATATAGATACGCAGTGATGGCATTCATTAGTCGCATGTCAAGTTTTTCTAAAACCACTAAACTTATTAAGTAATGGAACATAATTGCGTCCATTGCAGGAGAGTATGTCTCCTCATAATCAATTCCAGGTTTTTGTGAAAAGCCTTGTGCAACGAGTCGTGATTTATATCTTGCAATCTTGTTTTTCTAATTACACTTTCTTGTGAATACCCATTTGTAACCCACATGGTTTACATCAGGCAAAGTTTGGAATACCGGTTCAAAAACATTTCGCCTTTCCAAGGAATTTAATTATGTCTGGATTGCATCTTTCCACTTAGGTCAATCTTGTCTCTGTTTGCATTCATCAACAGAACAGGGCTCAATATCATCACTTAATATGATTTCAGTGGCTACTATGAATATGAACATGTCGTTGATGATTATTTCATTCTGATTCCACAATTCATTAGTACATGCATAATTTATGGAGATTTCTTTGCTTTCATGTACCTCTGTCTCATCAAGGATATTTTCTTTTTCTGAAAGTATAGAATCATGAATTATGGATTTGTCATTCATTCTCTCTTCCTAAATGATTTCATTTGGATTTAGTTGTGCCCTCATCTTTCTCTTTCGAGGGGCTGAATCTTTTGAACCTGGGGGGTTTACCACGCTTCAGGCATACACCAGATGAATTATTCACTACCACTTTATTTTGTCAAACAGGGACATCAATTCTTGTAGGTGTATTTCCAACTGGTATATATGATTTTGTCACTTTCATAGCATCATTAAATGCATCTGGCATTTTATTAGCAATACTTTGAAGGTGAACAATCTTTTTCACTTCATTTTCACATTGAGTGCTACATGAATCAAAATGAGACAATGTGGGTACAACCCATATCAGCTATTGCCGTTCTTCTGAAACGGTTTTTTCTCCCCTTAATGACGGGAAGACTGTCTCATCAAAGTGACAATTAGCAAAACGAGCTGTAAACATACCACCTGTCAATGGTTCCAAATATCTAATGATAGATGGTGAATCAAAACCCATATAAATTCTCAGTCTGCAGTGAGGTCCTATCTTAGTGCGTTGTGGTGGTGCAATAGGCACATAAACAACATAACCAAAAACTTGTAAATGTGAAATGTTTAGCTGATACCCAAACACGAGTTGTATTGAGAAGTATTGATGGTTAACTATAGGTCTCAATCGAACTAATGATGCAACATGTAAGATGACATGTCCCTATGCAGAAACTGGCAATTTTGTTTTCATGAGCAGAGTGAAAGCTAGTAATTGAAGCTGCCTGATAAATGCTTTTGCTAGACCATTTTAAGTATGGACATGAGGAACATGGTGTTCAACATCAATGCCCAATATCATTCAGTAATCATCAAAGGTTTGAGACGTAAATTCACTAATGTTATTAAGTTGGATTGACTTAATGAGATTATCTGGGAACTGTGCTCGCAACTTAATTATCTGAGTAAGAAGTCTCGCAAAAACTACATTTCGAGTAGACAAGAGACAAACATGTGACTATCGGATATATGCATCAACCAAAACCATAAAATATCAAAATGTTCCACAAGATAGTTGAATAGGCCAATAAATATCCCCTTGAATTCTTTGTAAAAATGATGGGGATTCAGCATCAACCTTTTGTTGTGATGGTCTAATTACCAACTTCCCTTGAGAACAAGCCGTGCAAGGGTTATCATTTGAGATAACAATATGTCTGCTCAATAATGGATGTCCATTAGAGTTAGTAATGATCCTACGAATCATGGTGGATCTTGGGTGACCCAGACGGTCATGCCAAAGCATGTAAACTTTTAAATCAATGAACTTCTGGTTCATGATAGTATGTGATTCAATTGTCTTTATGTATGTATAATACAATCCACTCGACTAACCACGCAACTTCTCCAATATACACTTCTGGGTATCATTGGAGGTAATGCATAGACACTCCACATTTTTTGCACTTTTCGTTTCAATGTGGTATCCATTTAAATGTATGTCTTTGAAACTCAACAAATTTCGAGTAGATTAAGTAGCGTACAATGCATGTTGTATGGACAATATTGTTCCATTTGGTAACATGATTTGGGCTTTCATAAGCATTCAATTATATCTGATTGACCTGATATTGTTGTTACCTTTATTTTAGTAAGCATCAAGCTTGAGAAATACTTTCGATCTCGAAGTATTGTATGTGTGATTGCACTATATGCAAGACAAATATCTCCACCATTTCTCTTGTTTTGAGAATAGGAAATTGAAATGCCACATTTATTGAATTGAAATATGAGTTTTAAACTACAAGTTCAGAATAATAAAAGTACATCAAACATAAATGATTCAATCGGACCGAGACAATTCATTCCCTCTTTCCACAATGAAGTCTGAGGCATCTAGGTGGTTTGTGTTCAACTGTCATGATAAGTTGAACACTGGATCAAGTATACATTGGTCTAGCCTAGTCGAGGAAATTGGTCTTGACACCCTTTTCCTTGAGGGAGGCTTGATGTAGATCCACTAGATGTTTCGGGGTACGACAGGTATGTACCCAGTGCCTATTACCACCATATCTATAGCAGACTCATTCAGAGTTTCTAGAAGCATTGTTCATATGAGCTTTGCCCTTGTGGCAATTTACATTTTTGAAGTTTGGGCTTGAATTATGCCTTAGAATCTGGTTGTGAAACTAGACACCATGATTCTTGCCTTTCCCGTTCCACCGGCATCGCTTGTGGCCACTTCCTCGTTTATGATTATTACCACCAGAGGATGTGGCGTTCACCTCGAAGGAAGCAGCATTCACTTCTGGGAATGGTGCAGATCCAGTAGGTCGAGACTGATGATTTTTCATCAGGAGATCATTGTTTTGTTCAGCTACCAAGAGCACATATATCAGCTGGTTGTATTCAATGAAGCCTAACTCTATATACTGCTACTGCAGGAGCACGTTGGAGGCATGAAAGATGTTGAAAGTCTTTTCTAGCTTATCTTCTTCAGTGATTGTTTCCCCACAGAGCTTTATTTGGGAGCTAATTTTGAATATCGCAGAATTGTACTCAGCCACTGACTTGAAATCCTGGATCCTTAGGTGAGCCCATTCATAATGAGCCATTGGAAGAATCACCGTTTTCTGGTGATTGTATATGTTTCTCAATGCCTTCCAGAAAGTTAATGGATCTTCAACCGTTAGGTACTCGTTCTTTAGTCCTTCATCAATGTGGTGATGGATAAAAATCATGGCCTTCACCCAATCTTGAGAGGATGCACTGTTTTCTTCCTTAATGGTTTCTCTAAGATTCTATGCCTCCAGATGGATCTTGGTATCCATTACCCAGGTAAGGTAGTTCTTCCCAGTAATATCCAGGGCAACAAAATCAAGTTTTGCCAAGTTCGCCATTTTCTTTTCTGAAAGAAAAATGAGATGTGTAAGAACTTGCAATAATATGCATTCTTGGAGGAATATAGTGTTAGAACTTTTGGTTCTTACAATTTTTTTATTTTGATCATCATGCCAAAATGATAAGCACTTGAAACTTCAGGCTCGAGATTTACATGATTAATGAGGAGGGCGATTATACCGTACCATTCTCATTGAAACAAGCATAGGATGGACGATTATTCCGCACCACTCAAATAGTAGGAAAATTTAAATATGTAGAGCAGGGTGGGTGATTATACTGCACCACCTAAAATTGCAATAAAATTAAATCTGTAGCTCAAGATGGGCGATTGTACCCCACCATCTTTGATTGTAGTGAAATTAAATTTGTAGTTCAAGGTAGGCGATTGTACCGCACCATCTTTGATTGCAGTAAAATTAACATAAATAAACACTGAGTTAGTAATTAGGAGCTACACCAAACAAGAAATCAAAGATATAAGTAATTGTTAAATTGAGAATGAGAACCAGGCATGGTGCTAGCAGTTCTTTGCGAGGGTACATCATGCAGGTGAGGCAGAGGAGGAAGAAGAACAGGAAAATCCTTGGAGGAAGCATTTTTTTTTTCGGTGAAGGGAGATGGGAACTAGTTAAGGTTAGAGAGTCGTGCTGATAACGTGTTATAAATAGGCAAATGTTAGAGAGATAACCTTTGCTAGGGACATGAGCAAAGCGGGTGTAAAATATCACACTGTAACTTTAGTAGTTATAACACAAAAGGATGGCAGATAAAGAGAGGAAGGGAGAGATACTAATATTGTTTCTTTAGTTCTTTCTTTTGCAGTGTGTATTTGATAACACATAGAGTGCTCTATTTATAAAGCAACTCATGTGACAACCAACCAAACAAAAAGATTACAATTTAAAAGTATCACACAACCACTATTTCCAAGTCTTCATTACTTTGTGTGGGCATTCATTCATCCACTAATTCTACAACAGATTTAACCTTTTAGTTTATGATTTTCTTCTGCTAAGATGAGACCTGTCCCATATGTTATATTTGTCTTTTTTTCTTTGTCGAAATGTTATTTTTGTCTTAAACGATAAAGACTTGTACACTATATTTGTTTAATTGAGAAAATGATTGGTTTAAAGTCAATGGGATAGGAACATTGAGATAAATGTGTAGGTTCCTGATGAAGGTCACTCGGCATATGGATTGGTTTCAAGAAACATAAGTTGCAATAATGCAAATTACTAATTAGATTTGAGGCATCGTGGTTGTCTAAGAGAACGTTGTTAATTTTGATAATATAAACCCCTAAAGTCCTATCATAAATTGTTTTCTACCCGGTTCACAAATTGTTTTCTTATGTCTAAACCCCTAAGGTCCTATCATAAAAAAATGTATAAGGTCGAATAGTAATGGAGCTTCTATATCCGTGTGTATTCCACTAAACAATATGCAAAAAAACTCTAAAGAGGATAGACCGTTATTGGCTTTTATAGACTCTTAAAAGTGTATTTTTTTTTTTACTTTTTTTATTTTTTTTATTTTTATGCCTCGTATATAGACTCTAAGGTGTTTTCTTATGTCCTGTGAGATAGACTATTTCGGACTAGACTAGTTTCAGGGACTAAGCTAAACTGGCTTAGCTTGGACTAAACAGGATAAAACAGTGAAGTGTTTGGTGCAGTTTCAGACTAAACTACAGACTAAAATATTTTTAAGACCCATAATATTTTTTTATTATTTTTAATTCACTTTCAAATTATAAAAATAACAAAATAACAATTATATTGTAAAAATATCTTTTGCCATTACATTTTTTTTAGTTGTGCTTCTGCCATTGCCTTCTGGGAGATAACTGATACCCTTCCTGAAACCCCTTTCCTCTCTCTCTCTCTCTCACAACTTTGTAGAGACACACCTCCTCCTTTTCACTTTCTCTCACATCTTCACTTCCTCTTTCTCCCTCTTAGTACAAAAAGTATTAGTGCTCATCCCAGTTGCCGTCGACAAATGTGTATCCTTTCATAGCCAAGCAAAATGAACAAATCATACAATCAATAGCGCCCATGGCGCGATTTGGATTTTGGAGGTGCTGGAACGACTGATGTGCGGCTGATGGAGCAATTGGGTTTCAGAGGCATAACGATTTTGTAATTTTTTTTTTTTTTTGTTTCGAATTTTGGGGTTAGATGTTTTGGGTTTTTTTATGTGTAAGGCAGTGGGAACAACTACGCGATCTGGTTTTGAAGATGGTTGTGGAAGCGAGGAAGAAGTATATGAGAGCGGCGAAGCAGGGAGAGACGACGCGTGGAGCAACTAAGAAAAGAAAATGGTAGAGGAAGCCGTGATTTACAAGGACTCGATAGTGGTCCTGGGATGGTCCGGTGAGGTTGTCGAGTAGGGTGAGGAGTCGAGCAAGACAATGCAAGAGAAAAGAAAGGTCTTACCAATCTGATGGTATTCGGGGGGTCTCGTTAAGACTATCTAGCGAGCCTCGTAGACGAGGTGAGTGAGGTTTAATCCCACTAAAGCTAGCCCTTCCTTTAACAAACATGAGACTACACTAACACCTAGTCCAGTCTAGTCTAGTCCCACTTAGTGAGGGCAAACAAACCCCCCTAAAGTGTTTTCTTAGAGCATCCTACAATTAATTTTGAGTATTCATTTATGAATTTTAAGAGAATATACAGGTCCCTAAAAGAATATTGTCTGCAATGGGAAGTCCTTAGGCCATATCTTCAATGGAAAGGGTTAAAGGTCTGAAAGCTAAAAAATGACTTGATTTGTGCAAAAACTCGTCTCCAACCTAATGTTGGCCTATACTTCTATAGAGCTCAATAGAATATTATTTGGCCAAAGGAGCATCAGGCTGGCCAAATGTAGCCCCCCTCTTAGCTCTTTTTTTGGGGCCTAGTTCCTCAGTTGCAAAAACTGATTCAAATTTAACTTAGATTTGAAAACATTCAAGGGTAGTTTAATTAAATTAACTAATAAATTTAAAGCATAAACTTAAAACTAATAAATTATTGAGGGGGCTATGTTTAGCCCATTCGGTTGAATATGATATATGAGTATGATCTGACAATCATTTAAAATTAATATTTTGTAAGACTATAATAATTTTAGACGGGAGTATATTTAGCAATTTCAGTTGGAGAGGGCCTAAATAGTATAATCTCTAAATTATTATTCGTTTTTTTAGAGTATTGTGGTCATTAATAAAAATCAAAAAGCTATATCTATCGTTGGAAGAGAAAAACCATAAAAAAAAAAGACTAGAGAGAAGAGACTTTCAAGTTTCAAATTCCCAAATATTTCCGGGAAAACAGTTCATTGGTTTGGGAGCTGAGACAGCGTGAGACAGATAAACGGACACTAACGTCAGATTTGACGGCGTCAGTAACAGGAGGGAAACTACAGATTGTTCAAACAAAATTCTCAAATCTCTTTAACTTTACCGCATTTTCCCACCACATTCTCTCTCTCCACTCGCTACCTCTTCGGTTTGCCCTAGTCTCCGGAATTCAATTTTTGGTGGCAAATCGATCGAAACCAACGGGATTGATTAATCTCGTCTGTCGCTACGCCGCACTGAGATTTCGTCGGCCGCCAGCCAATGCCTTTGCCCTGGAAAGATCTCCTTCGCTGAGGTTAGACATTCTTCTACAAATCTTCAGATTACAAATTTCCAAGATTTTGACGCAATTAAATTATTTTTTGGGTAATTTTACTCGTTTTGTAATTCGTGTTGTGAAGAAATTGAGGGTTAGCTAGCTGGGAAATTGAAGGGTTTTATTTTACTCATGGTTATTGAATCGTATATAGGAACTCGAACTGTATGTAAAAGACCTGCTGTTAATAGTGTTTGAGGCTGACGTATGGCGATGGTTGCTCCACCCGGTTCTCTACCTCCTGCATCTCTGAAGATTGGTGGTGGGACGGCAACAGTCAAGAGAAAGACACCATCTCAACTGAGAGTAAGTTGCTGAAGTCATGGTTTTGTTTCTCTACGGACTCTGGTCTTCTTATTATTAATCCTTTTGGAAATTGCGGAGATTTATGTTGGTTGCCTGATTATAAATCTTATCATTGCCATTGTACTTGTGTTCTTTCGATTTTTGGTTGGATACATAGAGAACCCGCCATTGTATCGTCCATCTTCTTATATTCTGTTATTTTGTTTGTAAACAAATTCTAATCAATGTCAAAACAGTTCAAGAGGATCACGACTACCAGGTCCCCACGTTAAGTGGGATTGGCACTGGCACACTGGGTTATGCGTAGGCTGCAGTACAGTTTTTAAGGCCTAGTGCTATGTCTAATTATTGTATGGTGCTACATCTACTTTTTACAAAGCAACACTGATGTATAACCAAGTGCTTATAGACAAATTTTAATTGAAGTGGTTTTCAAAAGCTTGGCTTATAATTTTACAGGCTATATAAGTTAAGAAGGTTCTTATTTATAATGCATGCCTGACAGGGAGAGCAGCGGATGAATGCTGTGGAGATAAGCGATGAATCTCCTGCTCCCTTGCTTGGTTCTACAAAGTAAGATTTTCTTACTTCTTTCTAGGTTTTTTTGTTGAAAGTCACTGACTTGTTTTCTTTCTGCAACACTAGTGAAGCAGAAAATGGGCTAAAGAAACAAGAACTGTCAAGGAATCCTCGATACATTGACATTCGTATGGATGAAGTATACCCTGCAAAAAAATCTAGGTTCAAGATACTTAATGCTAAGGTTTGCTCATAATCTTAAAAAGATGTTCCATTTATCTTTCTTGAAATCCTGTTTCCCTCTTATTTTACTACTCAATTTTAAATGCGGTTGGTAAAGTGCAAAAATACCCTATTATTGTGTTCAGGAAAGTATTTCAATGGAGAAACTTAGCAGTGTGAAGAATCTTTCTTTGCTCTCTAATTTGGCTTCGAAGAGGAAACAACAACTTTCTGGGTATGCCTTTTAGCCCATTGTTATCTAGTTTATGAAAAACAGGCTCATTCTTATTTTCTTATCAATTCCATCTTTCTTTTCCGGGAAGTTCCCAAAATGTAGCTTCTGCTGAACATACCAAAGAAGGCACGTCAAAAGTTTATCGAACTATTGAAAAGTGTAGTCAAGCTACTTTCTGTAGTGTTACTGAGCTTTCATCAGGCGGTGACAGATTGTCGGGCTTTGCAGCTGTCGATGTGGTATACTTAGTAGCCTTTCCTTTTTATCTACATAGTCAAATAATCTGTTATTAACTTTTTTGTGCTAATTTTAACAGGATAAAGCATTAAAAGGAATAGATGCCCAGGAATCTACAATTGGCTTACCTGCTTATATTTCTGAAAGAAGTGGTGATCCTACATCAACTTGTTTAGGCGACTTTTGCTTGCCTGGTGGAAAGGTTCCTCTGGATTTTACTTTGAAAACTAGTATGCGGGTGGTGTCCTCTTCCCCAGTGAAATGGTAAATGGTCAGCTGCCATACTATCTGTTTAGTTTTCATTTCTGTTAGTTAGTCTTGAGTTTGTATCTCCTTGGTTGATTACTTGTCCACAGTTTTGTATTCTTTTAAGTAAAATGTGTTTATTAAAAAGACAGTTTGTTTAGTTACGAGTACTTAAGACAGGACGGGTGCTACTTTTTCATTCCTTATGATTTGTTATTCTCTCCCAATGCTTAGTTAAATTCTTTAGGTGCGTGTGCATAAGACACTTAACTAAGATGACCTGTAGCATATGTTAACTTGTTTTGTCATGATCATGTTTATAAGTTTTCAACCTAATTAGGTATATTCAGTCTAATTTCACTTTAATAACATTGAAGATAGGGTGCAATTACGTGACTTTGACTTCAACATACTTGAAGACAGTTTGAGAAGTGATGGGAAAAGAAATTTTAGCAGATAATGCATTGGCCACTGCTGATGTCTTAGTCAAACCATCAAATTATGCTTATGGATTGTTCATATACAAATATTATATTAGAAGAATTGCCCAGATGCAAGTATCGCATGGTTTCAAGCCATACATGAATTTTCATTAGTAAATAAATGATAAAAAAAAAGGTAGTGCAAACATGAGGAAACTGCCCTTATCACTTTTCTTTAGAGTTTAAACTCATCAGCATACCCTGCTAATTCTGTGGTTGGTTATGTTGTTTTCACATTTTAGGATTCATAGGGCAATAGCGTGCGGTGCCTACACTAGTATGCCCAATCTCAAGTTCCAATCCGATTGTTATCAGGATCAAAATATGAGCCGTGGCTCAGGGCTCACATTGAATTCCAAAGTCATTATTTCAGAACAATTATATTCCTGGGTTTACCCTCAATCTACCTTACCGCCTTCTCTCATACAAGTTTTGACATCATCAACAGCTGAGGGAGGTGCGCTAAATAAGCTTTTAGTATACTGTCATTCCCAATGTATATTTTCCTGAAATGTTCTCATCAATAGTTTTCCCTTTTGCAGTGGAAACAGATTTCTTGAGAAAACGACAGGTAGCATGGGATGACTCATTTCAGAGTCTATACTACATGCTTCGTAATGGTACCTGTGATATCTTTTATGGTGAGGCCTTTACATGATGTTTTTTCAAGTCACCTTCGCTTGTGTTTTGACTATATACGTACTACTTTAGAATGAATTACTATCATTGATTATGCTTGGAGTGGGGATACAAATGTATTATGCCTTATTCAATCTACAAAAGTTGATTTCTCCCTGTGTTATGGTAGTGTTTGCATGATGAGACTTGTACTTTTAATCATAATAATCAAACGGAAAACAATTTTATTTTTGTTTTATTATTATTGTTATTATTTTAAATTTCAGCTTGCCATTCATATCAAGAAGGCATAAGCTTCCCTTTCCGGAGTCTTATACTCCATTCCAATATCTTTGAACCAATTAGATTCCCCCTTTTTTTTTTTTTTTTTTTCATATGGACTCCACACTTATTGCTGTTTTCATGTACAATTCTTCTAGTGTGTACCCCATATTTTGTGGTAATGTTCACGGCTTGTAATGTCTCGGTGGGCTCGAAACGCATCAGCAATGCTTATATCTCCCAATCAACAAGAGCCATACGATCATTGTTAAGAGAGCATGTAAGTTTCACTCATAGTATTTCTCAATTTTTTTTTTTTTTTTTGTTTGTGCAGTTTTTACTTCTAATGTAATGCTTACTGCATTTACAGACAGAAATCTTGTCTAGATATAATCTTATGTCATTTTTCATTTGAATGTTTTTCTCTTGCATTTAGATTTTCACTTAGTAGATGCAAGTCAAAAATCATTGAACTAAATAAGTTAATAGGGTTCCAATTTTACCTTTTCCTCATACAAAGTCTTTGAAAATGTATTTAACACTTGAGCTGCAAGCTTTTGCTCTTGGTTCAGTATTGCTTTTTCACACACAATTATGGACCATGGCATAATTTCTGAAAGTTAAGCCTTGTCTGTGTAGTGTGTTTTTAACTCAGAATGGACCCTGTACTGCCCTTTTTGTCTATCATTTCTGACTTTTTTTCTCTGGACAATATTGCCATTAGGATGTTTCTTTCACTATGCCTCTTTGCCGTTCGAAAGTAGAGCAAGTCACTCCTGATGTTCTTGTTGAGCTCTCAGAGATGGAGAAGCAGAATTTCGGCCAGGTTAATATCTGTTGTTCTTCCCCTTATTTGCAGTTTGTTCTAGTTTTGCTTATCTGGTTGTAGGCATGGAAAGGGTCATGGAATACCCTTGCCTGCCTTTTGGGATTTGATTGCGGATAAGAGTTGGTGCTACATTGTTCTACTGATCTGGCTATACTGGGCAGCAGTTTCTGTTTTGATTCACCATTTGATAGTTAAAACTTTGGGTAGTTTAAGAGAAAAAGGAAAGAAAAGTATCTCAGTCTTATACTTGTTTGTATCATTCCAACTATTATTATTATTATCCTTATTCTTTAAAAGATATTGTTGGAAGGATGTCTTGCATGTCCAACCATTCGCATTCGTCATGTGTTTTTGGTTGTCTACTCATGCCATTTTCAGGCCTTGGTTTACAAGTTTCATAGATCACTTTTCTGCTTGACTTATATGTACCTCCATTTAAAATTGTTGCAGACTCGGCGCTTGAGTTCCTCTTCTGATATAGATAATAACCCGGAATCATTGCTAGTTTTCAGTGGCAATAAAAATGTACATGGAGTGTTTGATATTTTGTTAAATTATAGGTATGTTACTTAATTTTCAATTCCATGTCATCTGGTTAAACTGATTAAATATGTATTTTGGATTCTTATCATCATCTCACTCTATCTTGCTTCTGGTTTCATGTTCAGATCGTTGTTGACTGCTTTAATGGTAATGGATGTCCCTATATTATATTCACCTGTGCCGTTTCAGAGTGCTGCCATTTCTTCTCCAGAGGTGGGTGTGAAAAATGTTTGTAGTTCTTTAATGTCTTTAATTTTTATGCCAGGGACTACCTAGATTACAGAGCATGTCTTGTTGCCAAAAACATGAATTCTATGTCTGTTTGAGTATGTGCATTTGGTTGGAGCTTCATGCTTGCCAATGCTATTATAATGTATTAGAGTGAAGTCATGATTTAGAGCGTACTAGAGATAATGACCCGTTTACCCATTTTCCCTAACCCACGCCCAAACCCCACCTCCCATTTGTGTTGAATGTGCCTACTTGCCTTCATTATGCTGCAATGTTCGAAGAAATATGCTAACAGAACCTTTTATTCTACCCTTTTTTTTAGATTAAATGCACGGAATTGAAAAGAGCAGACCATATTGTTGCTCCTAAGAAAACCACCGCAAAAGATGGATCCATGCAAGGCTTATCCGCTGGTCTCTGCTCTAGTGTTGAAATTAAGGATCCATATCTTCCACCATGGATTATTTGCAGCCTACTTGCCCTTCTGGGCTCTGAAGAGAGAAGCTTCGAGGCGAGGTAATCAATTTACATGATTCAAGTTTCATATGAACCTTTTGTGCATTAATGCTCAAAATTTGTTAGGTTGATCTATATGATTTAGTGTACCAAGTTCCGTAAGTAGATGAATACTCACAATTTAAGGCCGAGTTAAATGATGACTTTAGCTATAACCTTTGGATGCTATGCTGCATTGAACGTATCTTCCATCTGGAGTTTGGTTACTGTCTGCACTACACTAGTCTGCATTCAGTTGCCATTGTCAAACTATTCCAATATAGATCTTAACACGTCCTTTTATTTGACTTGACCTACTTCCAGCTTTATGAACGAACCTTCATCAATCGGGTTGAATGTTGCTGTAGAAGCAGTTCCTGAGAAATCTGATCGTCCTGATGCGGCAGCTGAAGACTTACAAAAAAGCACCTCTGCTTTTGGTATTCCCGGAGCCATTGTTATGCCTCAGTTGCGTTTGGGTTTCTTGAAAACTTTGAAGTTCTCAAATGGTTCTTATTCAGCTTCCCTTTCTCCTACCTTAGAAGCTGAATAGAAATACAATCGTATATTTCGCCATAACGATGGTTGATATCATTCTTTGATTCAACTAATTCTCTGTACTTTAATTTGGTACATGATCTATTCTTGAACCGCCTTGTGAAATTTGCTTTACCAGTTTGATACTGAATGGTTTTATTGACAAAACTCATGAGAAATCTGCCTACTATTTGAATGTTTTACTAGTTATTCTCCATGTGAAATTTGTCCAGCTTTTCTCCCTGTGAATGGTTTGAAACGACGACTATAACAGAGTTACTGCGGGAATGGAAATACCGAAATGCTCCTCAAAGGGCTGGCCAAGTTCCCCATTTGGAATACCGTCACCTAGTGTCCCAGTTGCATGTAAGCTCTTCGAGAAGTTACATAGCACGCGTACGTTGGCAGTGTGGCATACAAAGACATGCAAGTTATTCTATTTGGTGCAACTTTCTGGAGGGAGGACTCGTTGCAACTTTCTGTATTAGTGGTTTTCGTTTAGAAAGAGAACTTGAAAGCACCGACCTTTGAATCCGTAACTGAATCCCAGAAGGATGGTTTTTCCTGCTGGGCATTCTTCTCGTCTAATTTTCCGCGTCAGGTGATCAATAGTTCCAGGAAAAGAAGCCTCGGTAGCATTTTTAAAGTTGCCATACAAATTCACCCTATCCCTGGTTCCGGATAACAGAGTGCTCGCATTTGGCCTCTTGTGAAAATCCAAAACGTTCAACAAATTTCTCCTGCAAAAACATAAAACCCAGGTAACTAATACGGGAAAACCTTCTTTTTCTGTTCCGAAACAGTGGATATTATGGATGATCATACAATGCATATCCTCATCCTGGCAATACAAAGTTGGAAGAAAACAACATGAACTTTTTTACATGTTTTTTGGGTTCTTTTCGAAGTTTCATTTTCATCTGAAGCTATATGTAGCAATAAATATCTTTACATATTGACATATTCTTCCTATCACCATGGTGCATCTATTCGTTTTGATGTGCTTTTAAAATGACTGAAAACGCTTTTAGAGAAAATATTTTTGGGTTCCAAAAACACTTTAAGTGCTTTCTGCAAAAAAACATCAGTTATGTACTTCTTTTAGGAAGCACTTTAAGTGTTTTTTTAGGATTTACTTGCATTTTTACTAAGAATTGATTCCAAAAACATTTTCACCAAAAACGCTTTCAATTATTTTAAAACCACATCTAAACGAGACACCTCCACATCATTATATACCCCAGCGAGCTAATTGCTCTTAAGTAGAAAATAGCAATGCAGTAGTAACTAAACTTTTTACTTTCTTACAAATATGAGGTATACACAACCCTAATCCACTAGCTAAATCTCCATGAGGCGGCGCCTATTAGCCATCTCTCAGTTTCGTAATCCAGTCTTAACTTGACCAATGAAGGCCTCCACTTCAAGCATCAATGTAAACTAAATCTATTTGCTTTCTTCTCAGCACAGTAAAAACATATCAGATACCCATCCTTTAAAAGAATCTCCTTCAAGTTGCATGGTTAAAGTTAAATACAAAGAATTTACGAACGCTACCTGCTAACGTAATTCTGTGTAATCGCAATTGATTCCTCCAAGTTGATCACCAAATGCCACCATCCACGAGGTACAAAAATCACCTCTCCAGCCTTACAAATGCACTCAATGGGTTTCTTCATCCATAGGAGTTCATGAACCATTGAATTTTTGAAACTGGACATGCCACCTCAGCTCCATCTGGACTGGGATGTACCCCCGGAGGAACCACATCAGGGGGAAACAACACCCACATCAGGAGGAAAATCCCATCTTTCTGATGCAACCCAATTATCCATATACCCTTCCAACTGTACCGGCTTGTTCGGTTCCTCAAAATCCGAAATGAACTCCTCAACCGAAATGCCCCTTCTTCGGACTATATTATCTCTTTCAAGCCACTCGGGTTTCATCTCAAGACTGGCACAGAGCCAGCTCTGGAAGAGATAGTCATAATAAAAGTTTCTAACTCTAAAACCCGAAAACCGGATACTCGACACATCAAACGAAAGGCAATGAGCAGCAATGTCAGTAGATTTCCAAGACCCATTATACAAAAGCCTACCCTTTGGATCATCGTTTGGGCTAGATCCGTCCCTCGCACAGCTCCTTGGGGTTTTAATTATCGGGCAAGGTGTAGAAAAAGGTATGTAGGCTAAAAATTATATTTGTTATTGATACATGAATGTGGAAAAAATGGAAGAGAATGCTTATGGAAGAGAATGCAAATGGAAGAGAATGCTTATTTTTTCATTCTATTTCTCTACAAGATTACAAGGATATATATACATGATACAAATGTGTAGGTAGGACAAGGTAGCCGTCCTAGTGTGTAGGTAGGACAAGGTAGGACGGCTGTAGAGGACAAGGTAGCCGTCCTAGTGTGTAGGTAGGACAAGGTAGGACGGCTGTAGGACGGCTTGACGGCTGTAGGACGGCTTATTCTTCCAATAATAATATTATATACAATTACACAAGGACTCCAACCATATTCCTTATTTGTCTAACACAAGGTTTGCTGCTTGGTGTGCTGCAATATGAGTTTACTATTAGTTTGAATGGTGCCTTTGTGGGGCCTTTGTTAGACCTTGAGGCTCACAATCAAAACTAATATAGATCTAAGTGTGCCACTGTTACCTTTGTATAACATATTATTCTTTTTTGGTTTTTAACTAGGTTGATTACTTGCGCTACAAGTTACTTAAACTTCTTGATCTTGCTGGATTGTTATAGATGAGTTAAGTCTGTAATAAGGTTCTTTTTCTTGCCTTGTAAACAAGGATTTTTATTTATGATATTATATGTCTAATAAAGGGAGTTCAGGACCCTTCCAACTATTTTTTTTTATTACAATTAATACTAAATAATCAAGGTTAATTAGTTTAGATAGATTAATCACAAATGAACCTTGAAAGGCAGTTGAAAATGGTTTACAACATAAAGAAAGATGCATTAAACAACATATCTACTTTACGTAAGTATAAACAGAAAAGATTCATGCAAGATTATAACCTTATCATGCAAGGTTCATCCTCTAGCAGCCACTTTTGTTTTTGTTTTACAAGGGTTATAATATTTGGGGAATGAAAGGTAAAACAAGTTTACAAAAAGGGATTCATATTACAACGCTGGGGAAAAGAAGCAGAGCTTCTAAAACTTGACAAAAGATGGCTTTCTAAGGTGAATCTAGACTAAAAGAACAAAGTCTAGGCAAACTAAAGCTTTCTGGTTTCTTGCTTGTCTAAAAGAAAAGTGGGATGTCTTTTGATTGATTGATTGAGTGTCTTTGTCTTTGGGTCCCTTGCTGCTTTTATAGATATTTTAGCCCGACTGTCCAAGCTTTGCCTTTTGGTAAAGTCCTCCGGAACGTGGTGAGTCAACACTTATTTACCCATCCATACTCTCGAAAAGTACTTTTTGCTGGGATGAGCTGCCCTTCTGAGTGTCACTTCTCTTACATGCCTATTACCTATTCCTTGGCAAAAATGATTTTTTATTCTTTTTGGGCTGTTGCCTTGTCCGAGCCCAATCATCCTTTTGTTTTTTTGTGTTCTTGGACCTTCACTCTCAACAAACCAAACATTAAATATCCACTCAAACACTTCCAACAAAAGTTTCCTCCATAAGGGCTCATGATTTGCAAAAACATAGAAAGATTTGCTCACAGTGGCCAAAACCCTCAAGTGGATCCCACACAAAGGCCCCAAAATCTCAAGAACAAGCTCATCTGTTAGGGTTTGAGATAGAGAGAACCAAGGTTGAGGTAGAGATTTTCCAGTGGCTGGACCCCATGGGAGCTCGATGGAACTGAGGCTTTGAGATTGAAACCTGCTTCAAAATCTTCACCATCTTCTTCTTCTTCCTCCTCTAATTCTTGGTAGTTTTTGGAAATGGGGTTTTTTTTTATGTGGAAACAGATTTGGTTGTTTTCTTGGTTTTGGATTTGGTTTTCTTCTTTTTCCTAATGGATTTGGTCCTTTGGGACAATAGGGTTTTGCAGCTAAGCATTGGAGAGGTTTTTTGCTGGAACTGGAGAGCAGCTGGGTGATGGGGCAGGGTTTTAGCTAGCGAGTGCGCGCGTGTTGGCGCCTACAAAACGAATGTTTTTGTTCTATTTGAATGAGAGAAAAAAAAAAAAATTTACAAAGAAAAATAAAAAAGGGTGATTGAATTTTTCATTTGTGAATGAGCTGTCTTAGCTTTAAATCTTGTAAATTGTGAATTTGATACTAATTTATTCATCTAGCATATTAATGTAGATATATAGATACATAACAAAAATAAAAATTAATTTTTATGCAACACATTGGACTAAAACAAATTGCAATTGCAGATTTTCGCACAAAACACAACACATAAAATGACTTAAATGCTCATGTATTTATACCATGTAAAACATCACACTTGACAATTAAGAATTTTGCATTTGGAGAATGGAATGGACCCAAAGGTTGTCGATCGTGTTGAGCATTACGTAGTACATGCATAAGCATTTTAGACATTTCTCGTGTGAAAATTCATGTCATGTCTGTCGTATTGATTTTCCTATAAGAGGTTAGTAATTGTCCTATAAACAATCAATTTTCCAAATAATAAAAGTCCCTCTTGCTATGGGTGCTATAAACACAATAATATATATTCCGATGACACAACAAATTTTCTCCTTGCAAACATCTATTTTCATTTCATGTGCAGTAGAGAAGTTTTTTGTTTGATACAAATGAGAAATTTCCTCACACTTTCATGCATTGGCCATTTTTTGGCAGGTCAGGATCAAAATCAAATAGTTGATATACCAAAAGGCAGGCATGCAGCTGGTTGTGTTGAGTAATTTCTTAATCCTTCCAAACTAATCTAGGTATGTTAACTATCAACTAAAACAATACATATGAAGATAATTATTACCTTTCAATGAAAACAAATCCCTTTTAGGAGTTCTCAAATCCTCTACTTTTTTTAGTGTACTTAAAACATGAGACGGTATACTACGTATTATAATTGAAGTGAGGAACATGGAAAAATATACTCTAAAGCAAAACATATTAACCCCATCGTCCACTTTTATATTATAAAGAAGTCAACACAAGATGTTAACGTGATTTAATCACAACCGTTCAAATAGAAGGAAAGGGAAAAGAGAGGAGAGAAAATCCTATTCCGAAAATCACTGTCCAAATCTAA